TTTTTTTGTTTGCATTCTGACCACAAGTATTGTGGTTAATGCAGACATGATGCCTTGTAAAAGGTTTCAGTTTGGTGTTTTAACATCTGCACACCTGTTTTGTTGCCAGAAAAAAGGAGAAAAACCTTTTTCTCCCCAAACTTCTTCTTCTGTGCCTCCTTAGCCAGATTAGTAACACAGCCATTCCATGGCAGCTCTGACGGGATGGATGTGCCAAGCAGACTGATGGTTTTTACCATGGCTGAGAACTATGTTTATAATACAACAGTGAATGACTCTGGCATTGCCAGTCTTGCGTGATATCATCTTTGGGGGTTTTTGTGTGTGTGTGTGTGACCGGGCGTGGTGTTAGGCCACCCCACCCCCTCGTGTGCCGTGCCAGCCCTTCATAGGTGCTGCTCGCTGACTGCGCATTGCACCGGCAGTCTGTTAAGGCTACACGGGAAATCTTTGTCCTTGTTGGACAAAACGGCCAGATCTTTTTATTACCCCAATGGAGGATTTTTTTCGAGTCGACGGTGACTGGTGGTGATGATGTACGTCTGCGCATTGGGGAGCTGAATGCGTATCGGTACCGTCAACAAGACATACTACACGCGCCGGAATCCCAGCGTGCTTTGCATATCAAAACAACATCGAAATGACGTCGGCGTTCTTGCGGCTTATTTTTGAGCGTTTCTTCGTTGAGAAATGCCACGACTCGCTTTCCCGAGGCTTTATACTATTTTAGTTGTCGGTGTGTGTTGGGGGGGGGGGTGGGGGGGAAAGCGTTGAGATTCGTCACCAAGCGCGACCCAAAGCAGAACATCCCTGGGGTTTGATCTTCCACGTAGCTGGGGGCGTCCCCACCCTAAATCGCATCCATTGCACAGACCATGGCAGCAGATGCGGATACCTGATGGCACAGATGGAGAATGAACAAAAACTCTCCAGGGGTGCGATTTGTGGTCAACTAGATGAAGGACCCTACGACGTAAAATGCCAGATCCACAATTACGACGGAGACGGCACGACGCTGCTCCGGACTCTGCTATCTGTGACATTGCAGTCGTTGCTCTGCACCTACGTCAGACGCCGTGGGGAAGAAGAAGAAGAAGAGGTTCGGCGGGTCTCCACCCCTCCTCCGTCCCACCACCCGGGTTCGAGTCCTGGTTTGACACTTCCCCATTCGCCTCTGCCTGTGACGGTCGCCCCCCCCCCCCCCCCGCCTTTTTATCGTGTCTTCTGGACAACTGTGAAAGAAAGCTTCGCAGCTCGTGGGATTCTTCATCCACTCGTAACGAAAGCTTCTTTTATTCTACCGGCAGGTTTGCTTGCTCATCATCGCTTGGGCCTTGAGCAATGCCAGCAGCTGGGGCTCCCCAGTCGCAAGGGGCAAGCAGCGGGGGTGAATTTTTGTTTTTGGCCGCGCTTATGTGGTCGCCCCCCGCCGAACTCGCCGCGGAGAGGTCTCCGCTTTAATCTCCCGGCGCGGCAGATTGAAACCGCGGTGCGGGGTTTCCTAGGCCGAGAAGCGGCGTACGGATAAATGGTGGACGTCGCACTTTGCTGTTGTTTACGAGCAGCAGCAGCAGCAGCAGCACCTACCATTTCGGTGTTTGTTAATCCTACCTATTTTAGCGGCCAATTAATTCCACCTAGATTTAGCTTGGGCGGCGGTGGCAACCGCTGCACGTGGCCGCCTGCAAATCCAGCGGGCGGCAAGGGGTCGGTGGATCACCCGCGCACAGACGTTGTGGCTCCCACCTGTCCCATCTGTATGGGATCGAGTGTTGCCCCCTCGCTCGCGTTGGTTTTCTCCGGGTGCTCTGGTTTTATTCTCATCTTTGAATATAGAGAGAGGACCCCAGAGCTTGGGCGGCTGTTGTGTGCGCCCGCTCGGCGATTGTGAGACACGCGATTTTTGCATGAACGACAACGCTGCGATTTTTATATAAGCAAAGCATTGCCCGTAAACCTGCGAGCAATGGGAAGGATACTCGAGTTGAATTCAAAGCACCACGCCGCCCAGGATGGCCGTGTATCTTGAACTGAGCTTACTTTTGCACAAAAAAAACATTGTACATATATAAATAACACTTTGAATGTGAAGTAAAAAAGTTAAATGCCGAACAACAATTAGAGCGCATGTAATGAATTTGGTTCTGTGTCTCCACGTACGACTAAAATTCACGTTCAGCCCACCAGCCTATTGGGCAAGCATCGAGTTCAAGCGAGCAAACTGTGGATCGGTTTCACCATTCTGGGTCTCGCCAGCAGCGTCGGGCTCGTTATAAACAAGCGCTGCCCGAACGCCAGGCGGGTTGCGTTCGCTGTCGGTGACGCACGGGTTTAAATCGTCTGCCGTGTTCACCAAAAGTAGTCCTCGCGCGTAGGCTTTGTACCGTGGTACCAAAACGCGTTTTTTTTCGCGTTCGTTTTGCATACGAGTGGCCCCTAACACGTGTGTACGCGTGCAGCCCTTCTGTCACTCCACTGCTGGACGGGGAGGGCCTTCCGACGGTATTCGACCGTGCCTTTTGAGCGCGTCCGCCAGCGCGGGGAGCACAGCGCTGTAGAGTACAACGGATCTTTCGGCACTACTCCGTGCTGCCAACGACATCGCCCCGCAGCAGCCGAATGCGCCGGCGCTTGCACGGCGGTCGCCCATCCGAGCGCTATCCAGGCTCAATCCCCGATTTTTAGTTTCTGCCATTTTACGAGGTGGGGGCAGGGTGCAGCAGCGCATTCCGGGAAATGTGGTCATTATCCTTACAGCCGCAGTGTTGCCCAAGTCTTTATTTTTAGCTTTCTCGCTGTGTATATAATTTGGCTGTTTACGTAGAGGAATACGCTTGTGCCCGGATGTGTGCAAGGGGAGCGGCGCACCTAGTATGGCACAAGCGCCGCGGTGACGTCACCGCCACTTGGTGGCAGACGGCGGTTGTTGTTGTTGTTGTTGTTATGGGGGAATGGTCGTGTAGCAAGTTGCCCGCGTCGCTGCGGACCTGGCGACCCGAGTTCGATTCCCGCTCACGACCGCCAACACCGGGTGATGATCATCCGAACTGGTCCTGGGCCCTCCCCTAGAATCATCTCAACCTTTTTTTAAATGAGTACCTGGTGTGGCGGTTAAACGTCACCACTAGGGAGACAAAGGCGGCCGGGCGTGGTCCGTGCCAGAACCACCTCCTCCGTGTGGCGTGTTGGTCCCGCGGGCAGCCCGCACGAAAGGCTGTGCAGTGGCGGGGGGATGTTCTGGATGAGTGGAAAAGGTCGGCTTTGCATTCTGTCATCTGCTTGCAGCTCTCCGGAGGTGACCAAATGCTGCCGTGAAACGTCACACTGCAATTTCAGTAAATTGGTCGCGTAATTGCAGACGCCATTTTGGCGCCAGCTGTTTTGTTCACATGAGGTCGTCACAGGCGGGGTGGTGTCAGGGTGAGCCTTAAGCCCTGGTTTCCGCGTTGTGTGGTGGTGCCACGGTGGCTCGGAGATGTTGACTACCTCGCCTGGTATGCAGAACGTTTATGGGTTCAATCCCGGCCCTGACGCCTGTCGTATATTTGGAGTTTGCGTGTCTCTCCTCCCCCGTGGGCGTAAAGATATTTTCTCCCGGATTCTCTGGTTTTTTTTCCCCCCCACATTTAGAATCAACGTCACGCGTTTAGGAGTATTTGGCTGCTGTAAATTTCCACGCGATGAGCCATTTCGTTGAGCTATCATTTACGGCCAGAATCACTTTTGAAAAAGAAAAAAAACGCTTCTGAGAAAAGAGCTATGCAGCTCGTTGGGGCCTTAACTGGCAAAATTGAAATGGTTAAAGTAGTCGTGGTGTGTTTATGCCCGCAGTGGAAACGTGAAATGTACGCGTGTCCGCAACAAACGTCATCGTGTCCACCGGTGTGTTGTGGACGGAGGCGATTGCCGTTGTGTTTGTGATGACGACATCGGCCGTGTAATTCCACTTTGTCACGCCTGTTCGTCAGCTCTATTTTCCAAAGGCAGCCGGGTCCAACAGCTTCCGCAGCCGCCTGATTGTTTGTGACACTCTTACCCTCGCTCGCTTTTTTTTTTCCCCCACTGCCGAGCCAAGCCGTGCCGAGGCCGTGCTGAGCCAGCCCACTTCCCCCCGGCCGCCCCCCCCCACCCCCCCTTCGGGAAACAAAGCTTGAGTTCTGAATGTCTATATATTATTGGTTCTTTCGGTAAAGTCACGTAGAAGGGAAACAATAAAATATATATAAAACAATAAAATTCTCACGACGTTTCGACTGCAACACAAGCAATCATCATCAATCATCATGATCATCATGATGATGATTGCTTGTGTTGCAGTCGAAATGTCGTGAGAATTTTATTGTTTTATATATATTTTATTGTTTTCCTTCTACGTGACTTTACCGAAAGAACCAAGAATATGAATCCCTGCAGTCACGAAAGCTTTAAATAAAAATTCTGAATGTCTGTTAAGCCCTGGATGTATGGTCCGCTTCGGTGAGCTCGTGCGTGTGTGCGCATCTCTACGACACGTGCGTACCTCACCGCGTGCCCGCCTCCCTCCCTCCCTCTCTGGGTAACGGCGGGTGGCGCAGCAGTTAGCGTGCCTGCCTACGAGCCCGGCGAGCCGAGCTCGGTTCACTACCAGCACCGGTGGCGATTGTCTTAACCGGCCCTGGGCCTCCCGCTCGCATGGCCCCAGCCTTAAATGAGAACTTGGTGCGGTGTGTCGTAAACGTCGCCACTGGGGAGACAAAGGCGGCCGGGCGTGGTGTTGGCCGCCCACCCCCCCCCCTTGTGTGCCGTGCCGGCCCTCCATAGCTGCTCGCTAACACCACTTGCCCCCCCCCAGACAGTCTGTTAGAAGCTACATTGGGGGACCTGTGAACTACGTCCATTGGCCTCTCCCCATTTAAGCAGCCACCACCACTGTCTACCCAGCAGGGTGTGTGTGCGCGCCGCTCTCTTCCCGGTAGTAACCCGCGTGCGTCTGTGCGTGCGTGTGTCCATGCACGTGTCAGGACTCCTTTGTGTCGCTGTACGGCGCGCGCGGGGGCGGGCTGGCCCGGCGACGCCTTCACGGCGCCAACGACGACGAGCCGCTGGTGTGGCCCTCCCTGAAGACGGTCATCACGGGCCTGGCGGCCGTCGGGGCCTGCCTCACCGTCGGGGCCCTCTTCAATGTGCACAAGTGACGCGGGCCCGGCCTCGTGCCGTCCGCGCGGCCTTGAGCCGCCACCATCGTCGCCGCCGGCTCCTCGAGCACCTCCACCATCGACCGCCTCCATCACTTCAAGGACCTCCACCACCACCTTCAACTCCTGCTCAAGCACCACCACCGGCCACCTCAACCATCGCAAATCACCTGCTCAACCACCCAAACCAACGTCTCAACCACCCAAAGGCACCTCCTCCTCAACCACCTCCTCCTACCGCAACTGTTTCCACTGCAACCCGCCACCTTAACAACCGGTCACCTCAACCACCACGGCCACCACCGCCGCCGTATCCACATCCTCAACAACAGCCACCGATACCACCGGCCACGCTGACCGCTGCAACTCCCGCCACCGCTGCCGACGCCGCCGCTGCCCTCAAGGAACGGTAGCACCGACGTTTGGAGCCTGGCAGGCAGAACACCGATGGTGCATTTCGTTGGTTCGGCTCGGCAATGGGCGGCCAACCTTTAGGGTTGGGGGTTTTCTTTTTTCTGAGGAAGGAAAGGTTAAGAAAGAGCGAGTGTGAATTTGTGGGTAGGGTTAAGCGTTAAGCGATCGGTCGTCACGGCTTTTTTTAACATTAGACGTACGAGTTGGGGATGAGGCTTGCCGAGACGTTAGGCTTTGGTGATGGTGGGAGTTGGGGGGGGGGAGTGTTTAGAGCTAAGATTAGAGGTTAGAGGTCATTGCAGAAATAAGTTAGCAGTTGAGGGAGCTGCGATTCGTAAGCCATTGGCACGGAGCTCACGTTTGTCACGGGCATTACGGATAAAGTTTTAAGTGCCGCGGCTCGTGGGTGCTAGGGCCCCCCCCGGTGTAATTAACGCAAGGAATGGGGGGGGGGGGGGGGTTAGGTGGGGGAGACGGAACGCTGCGTCGGGGCGAGGCGGTCGGGGGGGTTTGATTGGCGAGCGTTCGCCGTCAAAACGTTGGGGAGGGGGGTGCTCAATCAGCGACGGCACGACAGCGGTGAGATGACGCGGCCGTGCGGGCGGCCGTGCGGGCGCCCGCGTGCGCCCGCGTGCATTATCAGTATTCGGCGGCGAGCGCTCGGTCGGGGCCATGTTTATTTATTTATTTTGTTTTAATTTTCTAAGAGATGTTCAAAGTAAAACGGGGTGGGGGGGGGGGTGGCGGGGGCGAGGGGGAAATTTAAATCGGTTTTAATTTTTTTTTTACGTGGCCACTCTTATCACATCTCTGCCGAGGTAAAAAAAAAAGATTCCGGCGTGCTGCCTCGCCGCTCCCAGACCGGAGCCATCATCGCCGATATCACCGGCACGGTGGGGGTGAGTGAGGGGGTGTTGGTTTACGGTGAGCGATTGCACCACAGAAAAGGGACATCGATAGGCCTGGGATGTCATTACCGGCAAGAGACGAAATTAAGCTTCTACGAAATTCTGGACTTGCCGCTTCGGTGCCCTTAAACAATGAATAGCAGCTTAATCCCGAGCAGTTGATGGGGTTTATTTGGAAGCCGCTTTGACAAAAGGGATCTGTTGGCATTTTGGTCAACTGGCCTTCCATAGGAAGTATCGGGGACTTAATGACGTAATGGAGTTGTTGAACAAGCAATAATCGACAAACCAAAACTCGACGCATTTGTCAACCAACGCTGTGGTGTAAATTATAAATAAAATCGGCAACGTTTCGGGCAATGACCCTTCTTCAGAGCGCCGGTTCCATTTGTTCTTCCGGCGCGTCAGTTGAAACGACAGTGCAGGTTTCTTAAAACCTTCCGTCTCTTGTCGACGAAGCGATCTAAACGGCAACAACTCCAGTTAGCTGATTAAGTAGCTGATTAAGTAGCTCGCGCGCGGTGGGGTAAAGAGTGTGGGCATTCCCAAGACATCCAGCCAGCGTGGAAGAGTAGGCCAAATGTCATTTTAGAGCCCTCCACCTCCTCCACCTCTTCCAGTTAAGGTCATTCTCTCCAGCGGCAGCGGCATGAGCGCGGGGCAGCTGTCGAGACTCGAGGGGGCTAGCTGTGAACCGCTAGCGCTGTTGGTCACGGGCGGCAGGCGCTAAGTGGCGTTGATGGGGCCACGTGACGCAAGGGGGCAGCAGCCACGCCGGTCTCTCCACATTGCCCGGCAATCGCGCAACTTTACTGTGGCGGCCCTCTCGAACTGCGGTCACACCGCACGTCCCAGTGGGTTGACCGATGCAGTTCCACCTTGATAACAATAATAATAATTAACGTCTCTCAACGGTGGGAGAAGGGGTCGCCTGGAGTGCGCGATGATTGCGATACGAAATAGTAGTTTTGAAAATGTAAGTTTTTTTTGTTGTTTTAAAAGATGACAAATGTGTTAATCGATGCCATTTGTAATGATCCACGCGCGCAGCGAGAGGGGAGAAAGCTGTCCACGTGCTGCCCAGTGACCCTCGCGGCCATCGACGTGTGGCTCCCTCCGGTGTTTAATGGCGCAAGCCCACCCGTGCATTGTCGAGCGGCTATTGAAGCTGGACGTTGGCGGGAGCTGACGGTGGTTTTTTTTTACCGTTGAGTTTTAGGACTTGACTCTTGTTGTGGTGGTTTTAAGCGTTTTGCTCTTTCTCAGCCAAGGGATTTTATTTTTTTTCCCACGATGCACAAGCGTCAAAACCTGACGTCGCGAACTTTTCGCTAAAAGACCCCTCCCGTGTGCGGCCTTAACAGACGGGCACGTGCTGTTAGCGAGTAGCGCTCTATGAAACGGACCAATCCACGTCAAACACAAACGATGTCGTATCACCGTTATGGGATCCTGCCAGCGTCGAGTCCGTCGCGACAGCCGGAGACGAACGCCCGGGAGCTCTTTAAGGCCTCTCTGGATTTTCATATTTGTCATAATAATAACTTTGCCGCCGAAACCGGTGCTGGCGCTAACGCCGACGGGACGCGGTAGCAGCGCGCGCCGCTCGCCGCCCGTGCACCGCGCTCCCGAGACCTCCGTGAGAAGACGGGCCATGCCTCTGCCGCTGGTTTCGAGCTCCGGACCGTCGACGGACACGTCCCCCGCTCGCGGCGCCGGGCGTGGCGTCGAACCACACGGCCTGGAAGCCACCCACCGATCCACAGCGAGACGGCGGACCGAGCGGGCGGTCGCGCAATCGTGCGTGCGTGCGTCGCCCGGTTAATCCGCACGGAAGGCCGCAATCGCGAGCTGGTCATCGGGGTGACCACGCGGCACGCCGAGCACCCGCCATATTGCCGTCATGTCCCAGCGGCGTCACCTTCCAGCAAACGGCAGCGGTTCACGGCGGCTCTCACCATGGGCCCTCACGATGGGCCCTCACGATGGGCCCTCACGATGGGCCCTCACGATGGGCCCTCACGACGGCTCTCACGATGGGCCCTCACGACGGCTCTCACGATGGGCCCTCACGGTGGGCCTCACAGTGGCCCTCACGATGGGCCCTCATGGTGGCCCTCGACTCATGCCGTTGTGTTTCCCAGAGACATTAAATCCACTGAACTGCACAAACTAAGCGTGCGCGCTCCGTCAAAAAGAACGGCTGCTCTGAGGATTTTCCTCTCGGGTGAGAGAGAGGAGGGGTGGGGGGTGGGGGGCGGGCAGTGGGGTTTGGGGAAGGCGGGGCGTCCCGTATTATGTCGCGACGGTGGACGACGTTGCTGACGCCTCCTCCACCACCACCACCACCAAACCCTTGCCGGGGACTTTAACGGCGGCCAGTAACGATGAACCAGCAGGGAGTGGGGGGGGCGTACTCGTGTGTGGATTGTCAAAAGCGTCGGTGTGACTCTCAAAATGATTTCGCCAGTATGTGTGGGCGCCACGTTCCCTCGCTCGTCCCCGCGAGGTGCACGGTGCCCCCCTTTTTTTTTGTTTTCTAAATGGGCCGGAGTGGGCTGTGCGTTTTTTTTTTTAAGACGTGTAAAAAGTTTAAAAAAAAACAAAACAACAAAAATAACTAAAATCAAAATCGCTCTCCTCGGTGCGCGCCCACGGGATTTCACGTGGTGTGACGGGGGGTGTCGTGGGGGGGGGGGGGGAAATATATAATGGGGTCGAGATCGTTTTGCAGCTTGCATAACCAATGCACGACGGAAGTTATTCCGTGCGAGCGCAGCGCCCGTGACGCAAAGCAAGCGCCGTGCCACACCTCGCGGAGTCCCGACTGCGAGGACAACGCGGAGGGGGGGAAGGGGTGCGCAGGTCCATGAAAAACTCCTCCTGGGCCCGGAGGAAGAGGGTTCACAAACGAGCGAAGCACTCTGAAAGCTCGCCGTCCCTCGTGTCATACGAGACGAAAGAAGCCTTTAAAAAAAAAAATGTGCACGCCAGGGGGCGCGCGATGTTCGGCAACCGTGACCCCCCCACTTGGTTGTCAGACGGAACGGGGAATCGTTCACGTTGAATTGTCGTCGCAGAGAGGCAGCTAACGGAAGAAATGATCTATATTTAATGCGGTCAATGTGCAACAGTCTTCCCCCTTCCCTCCCCCCCCCTCTCTCTCTCTCTCCCGGAGCCAGTGGTGGAAATTCCACATTCCCATGGCGGGGGTGGGGGGGGGGGGTTGGAGAGTTTCTGTAGAAGGCGGCCAACTGTCGCGACTTTCCCCGCAAATGAGCACTGTAGTCGTTTGGGCGTGCGATGGTGTGCAGAGTCTGCCCCTCGGCCGGGATTTCAATTTCGCGACGTTCACCGCTTGTTAGTCTAGTCTTCGCGATGCCATGCTGAAATGCGAGGTGATGCATTATTTATTGTTGTACTGTCGTTTCGCCTCAATTCCTGTTGGGAATACTTTTTTGGCAAAATGTAATCGTTCAAAAAAAAAACATGTTTACCAACGCAAACAACGACCTATGAAAACATTAGTGTACAAAATGTTACTTTGTACATAAAAAAAAATGTTATTTAACATCGCGGCAGCTATAAAACATGTAACTCTAAACAATGTCGTCTCTATATGCTATGCAGTATAACGTATATTTATGGTGAACGGAGGGGAACGAACGACAAGTGTGAAGAAAAAAAAATGAATCCAAGCGAGAAGGGGGCAACATTACTGCATCGGAGTGACATGGATACGTTGCGCATAGTGCGTTGTTTTGCTGGTAAAGTAAGGAGAGATATTAACCGCGAACGCGCGTGCCCTCACTCGGTGGGCAAATCTTTAACTCGGCGTCAGGAAAATAAAACCGCCCCCCCCCCCCCCGGCTCTCTTGAGCACCCACGCGGGTGGCGATGGCGGAGGGGGAGCGGGGGTCTCGTGCGAACGGAGCGAACGGAGCGAGCGTAGGCGGGAGTCTGCGCTTGAAAAACCAAAGGCGCGCCGATTCGCTCGCCACGACGCGCCTCCCGCTCGGCACGGTTGGCTACGTACGGCGCGAAAGAAGTTCTACGTGCGAACACCGCGAGTAGCACTGCGACAACGCGTCCTCCACCAACATCTCGCCAAGATTTTAATAATTCGTTGACATTCTCTCCCGCCACCCCCCGCCCCTTGAGCCAGACTCGGGATGTCTTCTTGCGATAGCCGACGGAGCACAACGGTTTGGGATTCCTGCTTCGGCGTGCCAAATAGCCAGCGGGGCGTGATGGGGGGGGGGGGGGGGCCGAAAACCACCCCACGGTTACCGTGAGGGCCCTGCAGCTCCGGCGTGCCTCGAATGCGCCGGTAGAGACGAAGGGGATCTTCGGGGAGTGGCTCGCCTCCTGGCGCCGGGGCTCATTTTTTTTAAAGCTCTCTCTCCCTCTGGCTCTCCCTTTCTCGCTCTCCGTTGCGTCGTGCTCTCGTGGTTTAAACGAGCGTTTATACTGTAACGGGTCTCCGGCCGGCTAAACCTAAAGTCCGGGATAGAGCGCGCGCTTCTGATTCTTTGCTCGCGTAACCGTGACAACAACGATGACGATGACAACAAGGAGGCTCGGGCTCGCACTCGCAGGCCATTGAGAAAGCGTTTGGGCAGTCGGCGTGACCTGGCGTACTCGCGCTCAGCGGTGTTTTAAAATTCGACGTCCAAGGCCGAGGCCGGCAATTGGAAATTCCACGTTCCCACAAGACCAGATTCGCTCCTGACCTCCCGCCTAGAGTAGGCGGTGCGTTTACCGCTGCCGCCCTTGCTCAGTCTCGCTGCTGCGTCCCACGAAGTCGTGTGCTGCACTTAATCGATCTCCCCCGGCATGAAATGATGGACCAAAATTAACTCGCGACCTTGCAACTGCCGAGGGGTCAAGTGCCCGTGCTGTATGCTTGCGCAACGTTTGCGGATTCGCTGTAAACCGTGCCTGATCCGTAACGAGCACAGGAGGCCCGAGTTCGTTGGCCGAATTACACGCTCAAGAATCATCAGAATCTTTGTTTTTTTTTTTCCCGGAGGAATCCGATGAGCTACGAAGCTCTTCTTTTTTTTTCCCTTCACGGGTGTCCAGTAGTGGGCGGGGCCCGCTGGCAGTTTCGCCAAAATGCCGCCAAACGTTACGATCGCGGCAGCTCTTTGGGACATCCTCGGCCCGAAAATAGGCGGGCGAGTGGCAACCAAAAAACGCCGCGTGCGGGAGGACGAGGAAATGTTAATTATGTAAAAATTTAAACGATGTTACGGCTTTACTTGAATGAGGCATTGCTTGTCTCCCCTCCCCCCCCCCACTCTTTTGTCGTCGCACGCACGTGTAAGATTCCAAATATTTAAGTTATCTTTTTGTGTGGAGTTGTGTAATATTGTCTCGCTATCGTAATTGCTTTTGGGCTCAAATTTGTGTTTTTGTACAGCGTGTGACGCTTCAGTGCTGGTATTATGCATTCTGGTGGTGGGCGGGGGGGGGAGGTATTGTACAACAATATGTAAAGTGGCTTCTCAGGGACGCGGCTGAAGCTGTGCCTTTTTTTTTCTTTCGTATGGCGGCTGATTTAGATGCAGAGCAACAACCACGATTTCACAGTCATGTGGTCAAGCAAGATAACCGCGTCAGGAGTGTATAGTGGGAGTGTATGGCTGTGCCGAGGCCTGTAGTCTGTTCGGCCACGGCAGAATTCCGTTCTACAGGTGGCAGAAAATAATCCGGGGGTGCCATGGTGGCGAGATGTTAACTCCCTCGCCTGGTATTCAGGAGGTTGAGATTGCATGTTTTCTCTCTCCCTGGTGGTCACGTGGATTTTTCTCTGGCTCCTCCGGGTTTTTTCCCCCCACATTTATGAGCAATGTGTTTCGAGTAATTTGGCTGCCATAAATGCCCACATGGTTATCAGCCACTAAGTTGAGCTATCAATTGTGGCCAGGTCGTTTCTGAAAAGTGACTATCTAGCTCAGTGGGCCTTACCTTTGTAAAATAATAGTTTGGTTTATTTAGTGATACCAGTTTCTGTGTGATGACACACTTGTTCGATAAGGTTATCGCCTAGCTCGCTTTTACATCGCGATTTACAGACGTTGGTACGACTCCAATTTTGCCGCCTCCTGTGGTGGCACCGACCGAAGTTTAAAAAAAAAAGTCACTTGCGGCCCCCCCCCCCCATCCCCACCCCCCAGGCCCTCGCTTTCCCCGTGGGTGCTTTGCCGTCTGCCATCTGTAACATTCACGCTTCCCCTGGTCACACGGTGGGAGGCACTGGCAGCTTGCCCTGGGCTGCCACCAGGCCAAGCCCTAAGCACGTGGCCTCCCCGCGAGTTTCACGTTTCGAGCCGTGGTCCGGCGCACGAGGTTTGAACGGCCGCGTGCCCCCCCCTCCCCCCCCCCCCCCCCCCCCCCTCCTCGCCCCCCACCGATTCCCTTTGCGAAAAGAACGTAACTTTGAACATTTTTCATATTTTTGTCGCTAACCGCTGCGGGTTTGTTGTGACCGCGTTGATTTCAAGCGCGGAGAGCAAAACAAACGGTGGAGGGGGGGGGGGGGACAGAACGCAGCAGCGGCATGGCGGGGAACAACGTACGTCCACGATCCGTGGCAACCAGCATCCTTCCCTCGAGCCGCTGGCGAGTTCCGTCCCCCGTGCACCGTCTAGAGACCCCCCACTATGAGTCTGACCCCCGTGTACCGTTTATAGACCCCCCCACTATGAGTCCGACCCCCGTGTACCGTCTAAAGACCCCCCCACTATGAGTCTGTTCCCCGTGTACCGTTGATAGACCCCCCCACTATGAGTCTGTTCCCCGTGTACCGTTGATAGACCCCCCACTATGAGTCTGTTCCCCGTGTACCGTTTATAGACGCCCCCCACTATGAGCCCGACCCCCGTGTACCGTTTATAAACCCCCCACTATGAGTCTGTTCCCCGTGTACCGTTGATAGACCCCCCCACTATGAGTCTGACCCCCGTGTACCGTCTAAAGACCCCCCCCACTATGAGTCCGTCGCCTGCAGTTAGAGGCTATGGGCGGGCTCTCGATACGTTCCTCTCTTATTGCTTAAATTCATAAATGGCCATGTCCAAGCCGCGTCTCTCCAAGGGACCTCGTTTGGGGAGGTTCCCCGCTACATTGGGGCACGTTTGGCCAGTCCCTATTGGACTTAAAATGTTTTGCGTGTGTTGAGAGAAACCAGAGCGCTCGGGGGGGGGGGGGGGGAAAGCCCCCCACCCCCTGGACCGGGTTCCGCGCGGAGAGGTTACGCGAACCCCTTGCGACCCGCCAACCCGGGTGGTACCAAATGGGCTGGCAGCAGGCAAGCTGCACCCTACCCGACATGCCGGTGGCCGTTGACATTAGTGCAGGAAGATTTAAATATATAGTGGCTCTGTTTAACAAAACAAAAAAAATCTTGCCAAGCCCTTGCGAATGTAGCAATGTAGCAACTCCGTAGCTTGATTAAACAGAGCCTCGTCAATATGCCGGTCTTTGTTAATCCGCTGCTGGATGAAGGATGAAGGCCGCCCTACGGTGTGTCAGTTGGAGGTGGGAGGGGGGGGGGGGGTGTTGGTGTGACCATACTTCACCGTGCTGGTCAGTGCAGGTTGGTGATTCATTCTGGAGAGCGCCAATGGTGGTGGTGGTGGCGGCGGCGTGATTGAGCGCAACTGCGCTGTGGACAACGCGGCGACCCGAGTTCGATCCCTGGCCACTGCCAACGTCGGTGGTGGCGAGGTGGAACCTGAACCGCGCCTTGCCCACATGCGCTGACCAGCGTGGTGTGAGGTACGATGACACAGCCCCCTACGACGACCAGTATGATACGGGGGAGCAGCCTTAACCGGAGCAAGTGGATCGTCGAATTGCTGAAAACCCACAACTGCGTGGAATCCGTGTGTGCGAGAACTGCTGATATATACAGTGAATATTTGCAAATGACCGCGGTATTTGCTTGTTTTCGCTTGAGGCCCTAAAACCCATAGAGTTAATTAACAGAAACAAAAACAATCTTCTTACAGCAGTAAAGCTGATTGCCGGCAGGTGCGATGCCACAAGGGCTGTACGTGTGGAGTTTGCGCGGCGTGTCTGTCCCACCACTCTCCCCCATGTGAGGATTTTTCTCCGGATCCTCCGGATTTTCCCTCCGCATTGAGAATCAAGTTTTACGCGCTCAGAGCATTTGGCTGCCTTAAATTTCCACGGGACCTAAGGCCACTTCGTTGAGCTATCATTTGCGATAGCCAGGTCGCTGATACAAAAAGATCTACAATTACTCAAAGGGGCCTTACCTGGTAAGATAAAATAAAAAAAAAATATTTTAGCCTAGCAGTCCAGCACACGTGGGACCTAGCATGAGAGTGTGACCCCGTTGATCCGTCGCTGAACGCGAAGCCGCTGATCCGCGCCAGATGCCTAACCCGCTCTCCGCTGCAGCTGGGACAATCTCCCCGACGACCCCGACGACTTCCCTCCCCGGCACGACCTCCCCAGGCACGACCTCCCCCCGGCACGACCTCCCTGAGCACTACCTCCCCGAGACGACCTCCCTCCCCGGCACGACCTCCCTCCCCGGCACGACCTCCCCGGCACGACCTCCCCGGCACGACCTCCCCGAGACGACCTCCCTGAGACGACCTCCCCGGCACGACCTCCCCGGCACGACCTCCTCCTGCCGCCTGGCACAGCAGCGGGGGCAGGCAGCCCGTGTGCCCGCTACTGACTGCTTCGGTCGGCGGAGGGTTTTCTAACGGCGAATCTGCGATGGTGACGCCCAGAGATACAAACGGCGACACCTGGGGAGTCTTTCCCCCCCCCCCGCACCCCGCCAGTGCTGTTTCGATACGAGTTTGGAGCGTCGTTAATCGGAAGGGTGAAAATAAGAGAGATTTAAAGTGACTTCAGGAGTCGATCGGCAGGTTGCATGCGGTGGGGTAGAGTGCGGGTTACCGCCACCTCCTTTGGAGGCATCTAGCGAGCATGGTGTAGAGTTAGCTAAACATCTCCAAGAGCTCCCTGTGCGAAGAGAGACGTCGCCCGTCCGGCGAGCCTCGCGGTAAGGAGGAGGAGATTGTGAGTGGTGCAGAGTGACAGGAGCTGTGGTGCAGGGTGACAGGAGCTGTAGTGCAGGGTGACAGGAGCTGTGGTGCAGAGTGACAGGAGCTGTGGTGCAGAGTGACAGGAGCTGTAGTGCAGGGTGACAGGAGCTGTAGTGCAGGGTGACAGGAGCTGTAGTGCAGGGTGACAGGAGCTGTAGTGCAGGGTGACAGGAGCTGTGGTGCAGAGTGACAGGAGCTGTGGTGCAGAGTGACAGGAGCTGTAGTGCAGGGTGACAGCAGCTGTAGTGCAGGGTGACAGCAGCTGTAGTGCAGGGTGACAGAGGCTGTAGTGCAGGGTGACAGGAGCTGTAGTGCAGGGTGACAGTGGCTGTAGTGCAGGGTGACAGGAGCTGTGGTGCAGGGTGACAGTGGCTGTAGTGCAGGGTGACAGGAGCTGTGGTGCAGGGTGACAGGAGTTGTAGTGCAGGGTGACAGGGGCTGTGGTGCAGGGTGACAGGAGCTGTAGTGCAGGGTGACAGGTGCTGTGGTGCAGGGTGACAGGAGTTGTAGTGCAGGGTGACAGGAGTTGTAGTGCAGGGTGACAGGGGCTGTGGTGCAGGGTGACAGGAGCTGTCGTGCAGGGAGACAGGAGCTGTTGTGCAGAGTGACAGGGGTTGTAGTGCAGGGTGACAGGGGCTGTGGTGCAGGGTGACAGGAGCTGTGGTGCAGGGTGACAGGGGCTGTAGTGCAGGGTGACAGGAGCTGTAGTGCAGGGTGACAGGAGCTGTAGTGCAAGGTGAAGGGAGCTGTAGTGCAGTGTGACAGGAGCTGTGGTGCAGGGTGACGGGAGTTGTAGTGCAGGGTGACAGGGGCTGTGGTGCAGGGTGACAGAGGCTGTGGTGCAGGGTGACAGGAGTTGTAGTGCAGGGTGACAGGGGCTGTAGTGCAGGGTGACAGAGGCTGTGGTGCAGGGTGACAGGAGCTGTAGTGCAGGGTGACAGGAGCTGTAGTGCAGGGTGACAGGAGCTGTAGTGCAGTGACAGGGGTTGTAGTGCAGGGTGACAAGGGCTGTGGTGCAGGGTGACAGGGGCTGTGCAGGTCGCGGTGCGCTGTGAACCCGAGTTCGATTCCCGCTCACGGCCAACAGCCAGTTCACTGTTATCTGAATCGGCCCTGGGACTCCCCCTAGGTCGACTCGGCCTCAAATGAGTACCTGGTGCGGTGTGTGGTAAACATCGCCACTGGGGAGACAAAGGCGGCCGGGCGTGGTGCTGGCCACCCATCCCCTCGTGTGCCGTGCCGGCCTTCGTAGGTGCTCGCTAACAGCACTTGCCCCTACAGTCTGTTAAGGCTACACGGGGGATCATTGTTGTTGTCTTGTCCTATGAAGAAAGGCCAGCACGGCACGCGAGGGGGTGTAGTAGTAGTTGGCCAACACAACGCCCGGCCGCCTTTGTCTCCCCAATGCTGATTTGTTACACACCACACCAAGTACTCGTGTGTGTGTGTGTGTTTTGTTTAAGGCCGAAACGACTTAGCGGAGGCCCAAGACCGCTTTTAAATAATCGTCGTTGGTGTTGAGCGTGGGCGGGAATCGAAACCTCGGGTCGCCGGGTTCGTCGTGCAAGTGGAGCGCGCTAACCACTGCGCCACCGCTCCCCGCAAGGACACACCACGACGACCAACTTCACACGAATTCGGAATTCCCATCGCGTTCGGACTCTCGGTGATCGTGCTCTTCGTTCTTGTTATTATTCTTGTCAGTCAACGACTAGGATGTCAATTGTAACTACCGTCGGTATTGCTGGCAGCTAAAGTGCATGTAAACACTTTACTTTTTGTTCTCTCTGTGGCAGGTTGTTATGTTTGTTGTGCAGTAACGTCTTCGTCTTGGAATGAGATCAAGGCAACGGGCCACGTAGGAAGGGGTTCTTTTCTTCTGCGCGTGGGAGAATATTGTGGTCTCAAAGTGAGATCGCGGATGGCTAGGAGATGTTGACTCCCTCGCCTGGTATGCAAGAGTTCGTGGGTTCGATCCCGACCCTGACGACCTGCTGTATATTTGTAGTTTGCGTCGTCCCCCCCCCCCCCCCCCCCCCGTGATCGCATGGATTTTTGTCCGGTTATTCCCTCCACATTTAGAATCAACGTCACGCGTTTTTAGAGTTATTTGGCTGCGATGCATTTCCACGTGCTGAGCCACTTCGTTGACCTATCATTTGTGGACAGGTCGCTTCGGGGAAAAAAAAAACCATATACACAGTAGCTATCTAGCTTAGTTGGGGGCCTTACCTGGTAAAATAAAAAAAATAGTTTCAATTCATATCTGTGGTTTGGCAATGGCGTTGGGATTTAGCTCCCCGTATTGTGCGGATAACAAGACGCACGGCTCTCCCGTTTCTTGGGTGTGAAAGCAAAAGTTTTGCCTGGAGGGAGCTGTGTGTGTGTGCGCGCGTTGCGTGCCTGCTCTACTCAAAGGGGGGGGGGGGGGGGGGGGTTATACAAATATGACGGGGTGGCCCTAAAGCTGAGCTTGTGGTCAGGAGGTTGTGAGCAATTCCAGCCGTCTCGAGAGTCGAATCGTGGGAACAGAACGCGGGTTTAATGACGTTTCGACTCGTAAAAAAAATAAAGATGTCAGCGGCCTCATGCCAGGACACGTCAGCCCTCGCCGCCGCCGCATCTCCAATTGGCTCCGTACGGTGCGAAAGAAGTTCAAACACACGTACCAGATGTGTGTGTGTACATCTTATTGGAACGACACCCACAATCTTCCCCGCTTACGATTGCGAAATTGTCTCTATTTAACGATGCTATCACCAGCGCAGACTGCTTGGTGATATATTTTTTTCATATTTCGCTTCCTTCCCTCCCACTGTTTGGAACCGACAACAGTAGATATATTTAATCATTTGTTAATTTATGAAATCGTATACATTAGGTATGATCACAATAATAAGTGAATTACTGCTCTATTTTAAAATGTACCGTCATGTTAAGGTTCACGTGATAATGAGCATTTACATCTGCGTGTGTATAAGCAGTTCTTGTAAGGCTTTCAATTTTTTTTTAGCATATGCAAATTGACAATACTGTATCTCTCGTGATAAACACCTTCGCCTGTATTGTATTTACACTGTTCATACAAACCAGTTGTACAGTTATCTTGCTGTAAGATTGTACTATCCTGTGTGACTACAGTAAACAATAAAAAGTGCGTGCTGCGTTTGTCATTTTTTTTAAACAAATTCTCATTTCCACTGCTGCACTGGTACACACCTTTCACACTGAATGAAGTCGGGCGCCAGTGGTGGCTACCGCTGCACGTGGCTACCTGCAGTGGTGCAGGCAGCAGCCCAGGGGTTGGTGGATCACACACACACATGTTATGAAACTTCCTTCAACCCGTGGAAGACGATTGGGAAGAGCCGGAGCCTGGCTTGCTCGAATGCAGTACGGCAAAAAAAAGTGAAGACTCCCACCTATATATTTAAAAAAAAACCTTTCTTTTGCCAAGTGAGGCCCACTGAGATACGTCGCTCTCTTTTCAGAAGCGACCTGGCTATCACAAATTATAGCTCAACGAGGTGGCTTAGAGCTTGGAAACCTATAGCAGCCACAAATACTCTTAACGCGTCTTGATTCTAAATGTGGAGGGGGAAAAACCGGAGGATCCGAAGAAAAATCCACACCACCGGGGAGAGAAACACACAAACTCCAAATATACAGCAGCAGGCGTCGGTAGGGATCGAACCCACGACCTCCTGCATACCAGGCGAGGGAGTTAACACCTCACCACCTGTTCTGTCTGTACAGAATCGTGCTGCCCTCTCACGTGCGATCTCTGCACGTTGCGACCAACCAAAAGTCCTTGGGATTTTTGCTCAATGGGTGTGCATCTCGAGTCTCACGTTCCTCCCAACTCAAGCAGATTAGTCAAACTCTTTGGTTCTATTCGGTAAAGTCACGTAGGTAAAAAATAAAACAAAAATCACGACGTTTCGGCCACAACACAAGCGGCCTTCATCAGGTGAAGGGACCAGACTGTCTCGAGGACAGCGCTGGAGTGAACACAGCCAAGCTCAGACCGCGACCTTTAAGCTGTGCGAGAGGAATCGAGGTGCCTTGACTAAGGAATTAGCATTAAAAAATTAGCATTTAATTGGCGGACTTGGCATGATGAAAGGTGAACATGTGCAGTTCGGCGAGGGGGGGGGGGGGAGGTGTGAAAGGGAAGAAACGGGAAGCACGGAAGTTTGGGGTACCACTACTTGAAAAAAAATACTGTACCATTGAAAATTAGTTTAATGTTTGGTTCGATTAGAAATTGGAAAGCTGACTGACCAATATGGTGAAAACTGCGTTCATAATAACTACAATGTAAGCTTTTCGGAGCTAAGTGATAACCGGACGAAATGTAATTTACACGCAAGAATACAGTGTACTACTTTAATCGTACCACAAATTAGGCTTGCCCAAGTCGTTGCGACGTCAAAAACTTTTTTGGAAATTAAATGGAAGTGCCCACTTGGAATGCCCATCACGAATTGAAGGCCGTCAGCATGACTTGTGCCGAGGATGAATTGGCTTTTCTTTGTACGTCTCAAAATGCAAAGTCACCACCGCAATACGACAACCGCACGTGCTTGTGGTGAACATGCAAGCTAACACGTTCTGATGTATGCATTATCCTTGAGAGACACCAGAGACGGCCTTCTTTATGGCCTAGTTTCACCAGTGTGAGACCAGATGACGCCACAAGGCGAGCAGTAACAACGCAACGTATCGGAGCATTTGTAGCCGAGTCGAGCACACTTGATGCCTTGCTAAAGGTATCTATAATTTGGTTTGAACATGTTGGCACCTGTTTGATTGCCAGAAAGGGTGAAACCTATTATTTTTCATTCTATGATACTGGCAAGAAACGTCTCGATATATCACCACCGCCATTTGTTTCGTTTTGGTGTAGTAAAAATCGGTAAATCTGGATAAAATTACTCCCACACTGTGGACAAGGAGAAACCCTCCCCCATCAGTGGACTTGACGGAAGGGCTGTACAACAAAATCGCGCACACCAACAAACAAAACACACGCAATCCAAGGCCATGAAAACGCCGCGTGGGGAAACACGAAGGAGACGCTTGGCCAGGAACCCCGCTAGGCGCTCGCACTCAACCAAGGAAACGGTCAACAAGAGGACTTCATTGTAAGGGCTATGCTTTATTCACAAATTCTTCCTTTAGATATTACATCTGTTAACGGTTCCCGATCTGAAGAGTGGGCAGAAGCGGACTTCGAGCCGATGGTTGTGTACCAATCATGAAGGGACGCACGCGCGCACACTGCAATGTGGTCACCCTGGCGCACAGGTGCAGTGTGTGCAGGATCGTCCCTGGGAGGGACCGACTTTTCCAGACCCCCACCCCCCCCCACCACGAGAGACACATTTGCCGCGCTACCACTGCACACCACGAAATGCTTTTTTGCCAGCACAAGACGAGCGGAGTTGATAAATACACTGTCACCTTTCGGTCACACCAATTGTATGGCTGTTCCGTCGAGGAAAGCATAGCAAGCGAGCTAAAAACAATATCGGCGTTAGCTTGACGTGTACAGTATTAAACGTTTACAATTTGTCACCTTCGCCATAAGTCCAAAGCTAAATGAAATGAACTCGACAAATTGTGCCAAGGGCTAACTACAGGGGCAAATCATTCAAATATTTATATCCGGCAAATTCGCCAATTTAATGCCGCGGTTAACATGCAACCTGTAAGCTGTAGCCAGGAGTGCACAACCCTTTTTGGGAAAATGCAGCGGCATCACCCAATAGTCCGCGTGCTCATCACGGAGGTGGCGATCAGTGCACCACCACCCCGTGCGCGTTAACGAAAGTGAGCGAGCGAGCGTGAGCGCAGCTCCGTTTAAAGCGCAGCAAATGTTTTGTCTCCGTGGATGGTAGAGGGGGGGGGGGGGAGGCCTGGGAAGAAGAAGCCCATCATCTCTCCGGCATGACGCAGGCCGCGTCCGCTTTTAGCAGTGGGTGGTGACAGATGGGGGATACCCGTACACGCACACTCGCACGCACGCCGAGCTTGGCGAGCGGGTGGTGTTGGCGACGCCGTCGGCAATTCACTTCTTCCACTCGTTCTTCTCGTAGTCCCACTTGGAGGAGAAGCCCTCCACGGGGTTGACGCGCATGTCCAGCATCCTCTTGGTCGACATCGCAACCCACTCCTCGGACAGCGTGTGCGGCACCGGTCCAAACACTGCGGGGGAGGGGGAAGACAACGCACGTTTAATGTACCACAGCCGTCGTAACATCTCTGTGTGTATGCATGCAGAACTTAGGAATAGGTTTTTACCCTTTTAACTGGCACAAAAACTGACACCTTTATTCAAGGCATCATGTTTGCAATAACCACAACACAAGCAGTCAAAATGCAAAGAAAAAAGACAACTCTGATAATAATATGCACTGTCCTTGAATTTGATTGGTCCACATCCGAGACAGCTTTTCTTAGTCTCCATTGGCATCTTCTGCTCCAACACCAATGGAGACTAAGAAAAGCTGTCTCGGGTGTGGACCAATCAAATTCAAGGACAGTGCATATTATTATTATCAGAGTTGTCTTTTTTGTTTGCATTTTGACTGCTTGTGTTGTGGCTATTGCAAAAACGATGCCTTGAATAAAGGTGTCAGTTTTTTGTGCCAGTTAAAAGGGTAAAACCTATTCCTACACCTTGTTTCTGGCAAAGGAGGTCTCATACATGTGGAACTTATTTCGCACCGAACTAAAATCGGCACAGACTAGCCGTGCCCAGGCTGCGCAGACAGCTCGCCATGGGGCGCGCCGCCGGGTTTGTTTGTACGCCGCACAAGCGGAGGCCGTGCCGCCGATACGGAGTAATTGTCCAAAAGAACGTGTTTTTTTTTTTTCTGGGCAAGATCGAGTAAATATAAACGTGTCGTTAAACCCACCACCACCACCACCACCCAACACAGCCAATTATTAAGGTATGTCAAGTAAACAAAACGTGACGATTAGTTACTTGAGCACACCGGTGTGTTGGAGAGTAAACCAACAGCATTTGCAATTTGAGCACGACGTTTCTCTGGTAATTACAACCAGCTTCATCAGGCGATTTTGCCAGAATTATTAAAAATATTTGGTCGCGAACGTCTTCGTGTAAAATCGACGTAATAATTAGTCGAGGCGCGTGCAGCCGACGCGGCGTCGCCGCAGCGCACCGACTAACATCGTCACACGCAACGAACGAGTCGAGTCCCATAGCGGGTGACGCGGTGACGCAGTGTCCTCGGTTTACCAACCAACGTCAAACGCCACGAACGCATATTTAGCCCTGCCTTTGATCTGGCCCCAAGCCAGAGTCACATGTCTCGTGAGGCCAGCATATTCCGGTTTGGTTCGGGCTCAGCTCGAATGTGCCAGTGGAATAGGGGGGGGGGAGGGGGGGAGGTGTACATGTGACTTTCAGAACAGATTAATTGTCCAAGGGCCCAGAACAGATTTATCACTTTGTCACATCTGAGGTTTGTTCCGGTCGATCCGGTTCAGTCCTCCCAGTGCTGGGCAGGACTCGAGCGCCACCCGAGTGAGCGTGCCTACGTGCGGGTGCGTGAAGGTGCGTGAGGGTGCGTGAGGGTGCGTGAGGGTACGTGAGGGTACGTGAGGGTACGTGAGGGTACGTGAGGGTACGTGAGGGTACGTGCGAGCGCGTGAGGGTGCGTGAGGGTGCCGGGTGGGGGTCCTCACCGAAGTGGCGCTGCCAGATGATGAGCAGCCCCGTGAGTCCGAAGAAGAAGAAAACCGCTCCAAGCACGGTTTTCCACTCGTGCGAGGGCTGATCCATCTCCGCGTACGTCTTGTTGAACATGATGCGGTACACTGCATGCCGGGGGAGGGAGAGGTGGGGGGGGGGGGGGCGAAGTGGAGGGGGGGGGAACAACGTGGAGCTGCTTAAAGCCGGGAGCAGTCTGCAGCAAATCAGTCGCAGTGCTGGGTTGCATGCAACCGAGTCGCTTAACACCAAGACCTACGCGGCAACCTGTCGATGCCCGTGGTGGTCGCCCACCCGTAGATAAAAAGCCTGCTTAGCCCAACAACGTGTAATTTTTACATAGTCATTCGCGCGAGCAGTATCTCAAAAGTTTAACACGTAGGCTTCCGCGACCAATATCATCCATAATATAGGTTTTTTTGGGGAGATATCGCGTAAATATAAATGTGTCGTTAAATCCGCCACCACCCGACACAGCCAACTGGCAATAGATACCCATTATAATTCATATGCATTCATTAATCCCCCCCACTTCACACGTGAAGGGCTCACAAGTGACGTCATCACATCGATCCCTCTATTTAAAGAACGAAACAGCAGGATTTCACCACAAATCTGGCTGTCGCCTGATGAAGCTAGTTGTATTTATTGGTGAAACGTCGTACTCGGATTGGACGTATTGTGGATTTGCTCTCCAACACACCGGTGTGCTGTACTAGTAATGAATTGCCATGTTCTGGTTACGTGACAAACTTGACTAATTGGCTGTGTCGGGTGGTGGCAGGATTAACGACACATTTATATTTACACGATCTAACTAAAAATAATTAAACACTATGGAGTATCTAAAAACTCGAACAATTTGCAAATCTTCGAGCGGAGGCGTAGGAGGACAAAGACGAGCCGGAGGGCATCGACAGCACCGGTGCCAACAATCGCCGTCATTTTACAATAAGTGGGCGACAATTTTCCCGTTAATAATCCCGATTTACGAACGTAATATAACCGTGCAACACTGCTTAGCTTCCCAGACCTAACGAGATCGGGGGGGACATTCCGGGAGGTTTGGTCACAGGGATGGTACAATGTGCATACACGTTGGCGAGGTGTTGGGAAGGGCTCAAAACAAGGTCGGACTCGTGCACAAAATGCTTTCCACAAATGAACCACAATACCTTGCTGATCTCGTCAAGGGGAGCAGAAACCATGACCACACAAACTCCGGTCATGCTCGCAGCAGCGGCTTTTGGCTGACCCTCGAACAAAGACGGTCACCGCATCGCGCGCTTTCAGATGCGCTTCTGCGGCCGTCTGGAACGCTCTTCCTTAACAATTTTAGGAAGCCACTGTGGAGCTATGCACTTTTAATTCTAGATTGAAAACTCATTTCTGAAGAACTGCGTTTAGTGTTTAGCGTGTCATCCTTTCCCTGCACCTCTGATTAGCATGAATGGCTATGTACGGTGTGAAAGAAGTTCAACATATATATATATACACACACACACAAGTGACTATTGTTAGCAGGATAGGTTCCTGTGGCACTTTGTAAAGCAAGAGAAGCGAAGGTTCAATCAATTAATAAAGGTGGCCTTTTAGCCCTGTGCATATGGGCGACACATCGCTGTGCATGTGTATGCCAATTTGCGTAGGTGGCAGCAACACATTGTGTCTTCAAACTTGAACAGAGTATTCCCACGCGTGTAATGCATTGCCACGTAAAATCAGTGTGCGCGTCCCCTTGTGGACAAATTAGGTCCCCTATCCGGACAAGAAGAAAAAGGTGGCACAATGAAGAAGACAACCTGATGATGCGGGCAGTGATGAGAAGGAACCAGGCACTCTTTGGACACGTGTGCAGTAGTAGGATGGACAACAACAGTAACATTTAAAGTGTGGTGGTGTTCGGGGAAAAAATGGAATGAAGCGGAAAGAGAGGAAGACCTCACGGAGTAATGGCTTGACGACGACATGAGAGATTGGTTCCAGACAAGATGTGGCCACTACTTGAGCCATAGTGGCACAAGGCAGAGGAAAGTGGAAACAAATTACGAAATACCCCACTGGAACCTCCTTTGCCAGTAGCAAAATATGATAATTGTTTTTTTTACTCTTTTATCTGGCAACAAAAACTGACACCTTTTTTTACAAGGAGTCATGTTTGTAAATGCTTACCCCAAGCTCTCATACTCTGATGGTACATTGTCTTTGAGTTGTGCGCCTTTTGGCGGCATCTGGTCCAACATCATGCGAGACTAGGCTCTAAGGAAAGCTGTCTCGGGTGTGGACCAATCAATTTCAAGGACAGTGCCAATACATTATCAGAGTTATGTTTTTTGTTTGCATTCCGACCGCAGGTATTGTGGTCAATGCAAACATGACTCCTTGTAAAAAAGGTGTCAGTTTTGTTGCCAGATAAAAGGGTAAAAAAACAATTATCAAATTACGAAATGTGTAGCAGACACCTACTATGGGCTATTGGTCCATAGATCGGGATGATGATCCGGACTAACCCCCCAAAGCACGGTAGCAACTTGATTTTCCCTCAACAACGATTTAGTACGATTGGCAATGTACGATGTGAAAGAGGTCCAACATACATGGGCGGTTCTAAGCTTGTTGATTCTGTTCCGCATGAGCAGCGCCCTGAGGCGTTTAGGCCTCATGCAGCGATTCATTATTTATATTTTAGCTCGAACTTGATTAACAATCTTTGAAACAGCGTATTCAACCAAACCATGCGTTGTGTTTTAACCGACCGTTTGTGTTGCTTTATATAGTTTCCAAATTTTGCTAAACCCTGTTTGATTTAGTGTGATGCTCCGTCTCTCTGTATCCCTTGGTATATCTGTGTTAATTCTCCCTACTTAAGGTCTGTCTGCGGTTATATGTTTCCTCTACCTGATGATGATTGCTTGTGTTGCAATCGAAACGTCGTATGCTATTATATAATTTTATTTTTTATCATTTCTACGTGACTTTACCGAAAAAACCAAAGAGTATATTTTAGCTCTCGCTAAAAGCACGACAAACAATAGCAGAGCGATGGAAAGCGAAACAGTCAAGCTACCTTACAGGAAAGAAGTCTCTGCCTCTGTCCTTTTAGCCATCACACTGTTATTTTAATGTTGTAACCATTAAGGCTAAGAGGTGGCTTAGCCCACGCTGGACCCGTCGCGGTGCAGAGGTAAACGTGAGGGATCGTGGGTAGAGGGTTGCAGCAATTAGGTGGCAGGGGCAGGCACTCAAAAGCCATGAAGCAATCTCCCAAACGTTACAAATAAAGACCAACACTAAACTTTCATTTTTTTAGGAAAGGCCCACCAAACTGTATAGCACTTTTTGAGACGTGACCTGGCCACAAATGATAGATCAACGAAGCGGCCTAATCACACGGAAATTCATAGCAGCCAAATACTCTAAACGCACGTTCATTCTAAATGTGGAGGGAAAAACGGGAGGACCCGGAGAAAAATCCACGCGACCACAGGGAGAGGGAGACACCGCAAACTCCAAATATTCAACAGGCGTCAGGGTCTGGATCGAACCCACAACCTCCTGGATACCGGGTGAGCGAGTTAACATCTCGGCACTGTTAAATGCTCTAAAAGGGGGATCTTTAGCTCTGTGTGTGTACGTGCATGTGGAGCGGAAGTATCGCGATTAGCGGACTGCACTGCGAAACCCGCTAACGGCTATTTCACACTTACGGCTAACATCAGTGACGATAATCTAAACCGGTCCTGGGGCTCCCATATGTCGACTAGGCCTCAAATGAGAACCTGGTGCGGTGTGTAAACATCGCCACCTGGGGAGACAAAGGCGGCCGGGCGTGGTGTGCCGGCCACCCACCCTCTCGTGTGCCGTGCCGCCCTTCATAGATGCTACTCGCAAACAAGCAACTGCCCCAACGGTCTGTTCAGGCTATACGGGGGATCTCTGTCTTTGGGTGCGTGCGCCACTCACGCGCCAGCTTCTCGGCTTGGCTGAGCGCCGTCCAGGGTCCCTTCTCCTTCTCCTTGAGCGCGAGCTGATGCGACGCGAGGTCGCGCACGTAGGGGATGTCGGGCAGTGGCACGTCCGTGCGGTCCGTGTACTGGGGCAGGCTCCACTCCTCGGGCTTTGCAACCACCGCTGTGCACACCGTCAGCATCGTCGGCACCGTCAGCAACATCGAAACCATCGACACCGTCGGCATCGTCAGCACCATCAGGAGCATTGGCATCATCAGTACCATCAGCACCGTTAACACCATCAAGCAGCATCAGCAGGATCGGCACAATCGTCCCTACTTCGTGCTTTCACTTTGCACGAGTGTCAGCGCACGACACAACCGCAACGCCATTTTATCGTGCCGTTGACCGGATCGCCCAGGAGCAGGATTACGACTCGCAATCACTGCAAGTAGCAGAAGGTTTAGGTGTACAAGTGCGACGCAGGTGTGTGACAACTGTACATTACTTAAACTACTACGTATCTGAGAACCCTTCCTCCTCCCTCTGCTCCACGGAGGGCATCACGACTCCCCTGCTGGGAAAAGTTCCAATTTGGGAAACAACCAATTAGCAGCACTCGATAAGCGCTGCAGTTGGCGTCCCATGGATAGACTGGTCTCTGCCATGGGAATGTGGAATTTGTCACCAGACGAGTTTCCCAAGGCGGTAAGCGCTGGCGAAAATCGCTCGTTTGTAACAGTGAGACATGTTGTCTTTTGACCCGAAATTTACTGCGCAGACCGTAACTAAACGCGGGCACATGCACGCAAAAACATTTCAAAGTTGCCCAAACGATTATTCCTCAAGGTATGCTTTACAGTAATATAATCTCTACACAGGGTCAAAAATAAAACTGTGTAACTAGAAATATAAAACGACACATGACATCACATGTACACACACACACATACAAGCAAACAATCATTATTTATACATTGCAAGCCCTTAATGTTTGCCATTTACAACGTAAAACGCAAATGTCCAAAGGTGGAGGAAATGGTTGACTAGAATGGCACGCTAACCCAGCACACACGTTTCATAATTTGGTACGGAAAGACCACACCAAATTTAGCTTTTATGTTAAAAAATGAGTCGCGTTTTCAATTGCACCGATTCAGGTTTCAGGTTTTATTTAGTTTGATCGGGTAAGAAGCCCGGAGACCAGGATGAGTCTCATTTGCAAGTGACCCCCGGGGTTCACTCGTGATTTGAGCACACCTGGAAGATCAGACAGATTATTTCTTAAAAAAAGAAACGATAAGACAATTGTCATGTCCTTACACGTCGTGTTTTCAAGACGATAAAAAAAATTTAACCGATTGTAGATGCCGCAGTAATGGAGACTGCAATGCGCAAAATGCAATGCCAAATGGAACACCGGATCCAGGCCAATGACGGACGGGAGTCACAGCCTAACCATAAGTTATTCTACACCTTCACCACTGAGAATCAACGGTAGGTGAAATGGATGGTCAAGGAAAACAAGACTTCTGTAAGAAAATATAAAAAAGTGTCGATTTTTGTTTTTGTTCCGATTGCTATATGCTCCATTGCTGTACTTTCCCTTGCTCGATTTGGTTTTCTCTCTATGGGTTGCGTGCGAGCTACACCCAGGTGCAGTGGGTGCGCTGTATGGTGCGTGTGTGTGAGCTGCACACAGGCGTAATGGGTGTTTGTGTGTGAGCTGCATCCGTGTGCAGTGGGTGCGTGTGCGCTGTATGGGTGCGTGTGTGTGCTGCACAGAGGTGCAATATGCTGTGGGTACCACCACTGCGACCGTGTCACCCATACCGTGGCCATGCCGCGCCGCCGTGGTGGCGAGCGTCCTCCGTCCCATCAAACTCAGCATACGTGCGGCCAGCATCTGCAATGCACACGTTCACACACAAGACGCCCAAATCCTTCATCGTCGTCATCACCGTCATCATCTACGACTTGACAATGTGCCTCACACGCAAGCAATCCACACCAAGTGCTTGCCACAAATGAACTACAATACCTCGCTGATCTCATCGAGGAGGATTGAACCATCACGCAAACTCCGTTCATCCCTCACAGCTGGGCGTTTTGGCTGCCATTGAACAAAGACGGTCACCGCATCGCGCGCTTTGATTCGCTTCTGCAGCCGTCTGGAATGCTCTTCTTTCCAATATTAGGAAGCCACTGGAGCTATTCAGCAGACTGTTGATAAAAGACGGAATCGGCCTGGGAGAGGCCAACGATCAGATCAGATATCAGGTCGCTGACGTTAGCCGTGGCTGGGAATTGAACTCGGGTATCGGCAGGTGCGTAAGCCCAGTGCACTAACCACAACTCCTATTCGCCACCAAGTGGTGGCGAATGGTAGTTTCACCACGGCGCTTGTGGCAGGCTGTGCGCACTTCAAGGCCCCTATTAAGTATCTAAGGCTCGCCGACAGGTCACGGGACAGACCCAGGTGCCATGGGTTGACGGACTGAGATGACTGGCACCATCTGTGCCCCCAAATGTGGCAACTAACCACAATGCCACTGCTTGCACACAACAGCACCCGGTCACGACGTGGCGATGACGTAACCACAGCCTGCACTTTGAGACCCAGGTGTTGAGGGGAAACTACATAACACAGCATTCAAAGAAAGTGCTGATAGCAAGCACCCATCAATGTGGGTACGGCATACGAGGGGGTGCGTGACAAGTAGCACGCCCGGCCGCCTTTGTCTCCCTAGGCGCGATGTTTACACACCACATCAGATAGTAATTTGAGGCCAAGTCGACCTAGGGGAGGCCCAGGACCGGTTAAGCATATTCGTCACCGTTCTTGGCTGTGAGCGAGAATCGAACTTGGGTTGCCAGGTTCATAGCGCAGGGCGCTAACCGCTGCGCCACGACTCCCCACGATAATCTTAAAACACACACACACACACAGTGGACCGCACATACACACACGCAAAGCATCAGGAGACTTGCCTCGCCCACACACACAGCGAGAGCAGGAAGAGAGAGAGCGAACGAGCGAGCGAGGCCCGGCCCACACGTGGCTCAAACGCCATGCGCGCCCTGCAGGCACGGCACGTACGCGCAGCAGCAGCAGCCAGCTCATCAAGGGCAGGCGCGGACAAGGGGACGCGGTCGCGGACAAGGGGACACGGCGCGGACTTTGAAGGTCGCCGCTTGCCGATGGCACACTCCACCCCTCCTCCCTCCCCCTCGAGGGCAGCCAGGCTGGCCCCGTCTCAAGCCACCGCCACCCGCCCCGGGGGAGGGGATCTCACTCATCCAGATGGCCCTCCGCAGTAAGGCACGGGCCATTGTGGCAGCCGGGGTATGACACGATAGGTCAGGGGTTGCGCGATCTTCATGCAAAAAAAAAACCTCCCCAGGTCGACCTTGCAAAAGATGTACTGCGGGTTATCATCGTTAATGTATTTCAATCCTACACTGCAATCTTACGGGCTAAATAAAGGTTCCCAACTCCTGATTGTTGGTCCTGGCGGCCTGTCAAGAGCTTGGGCGATGGCGCTTGAAATAGCCGCTCTCCGGTCACGGGAAAGAGCCGCTGGATGAGTAGCCTCCGTGCGCTGCCTGAAAATCCTGCAGTCGTAAGACACGGGGTGGTGCTTCCCGAAGGAACTTGTCGACTGCGCGCAACGAGGATGACCTCAAAAGCCAGGATAGTCGAAGGGAGATTGCGACGAATGCGCGTGGCGAGAGACACGAGCCCGAGACAAATCGGCGGAGGCGAGGACACGGCACGGGCCGGTCCTTGAATGCGGCACGTGTCGTGGGTCTAATGCGCGCAAACGCAGAAAAAAAAGGAGAGAGGCACGCGGTCCACGTGGGTCATGGACCAGCGGCAGTAGGCGACACGTGGCGCCTGGAACCGCACGCGGCTCTTGTTGAGACCGCTTCGTGATTGTTATTTATCTCGGATTCACCACGCAGTGCATTGCGTGTTTTGAAAAATTGATGAGCTGTTATCGAATTCGAAAAAAAAACGTCTTGTTATTTTGGTAGCCCCCCCCCTCCACCGCCGCGATTTTGACGGTGGTCCTTGAAGGACGTTGCATACATGTCAACCCCTTATCAGTGCCCTACCTTATTACAAAGTCAGATCTTATTGGTCACCCCGTGCCCCTTATAAAACTCAACGTTCATCCTACAAAGTCCCATCACAAGGGAGAAACACAAACAAATACAAAATTGTGTTGCCCCGTATTGAAACGGCTGTACGCCGTTTGGACCTGAAACTCAATTTCCCTGTCCAAGAACACGGGGTATAAACCGTATGGTTTGTACATGTATATAAGCGGTGTCGATTGCAAACGCTGAAAAGCGACGTGAATGAACACAGATGTTTTGATGAGACGAAGAGCCACAACGGCCAGCAGCCACAGGACGAACGCGTTTCAATGGACAATGGCTCAAGATTGTGAGTCTTGAATAATGCGTTAGTTCAGAAACGGGGGGGGGGCGCCGAGATGGTTGGTGGTGATGGTGGTTTGTGGTGGTGATGGTTGGTGGTGGTGATGGTGGTTGACGGTGGTTGGTGGTTGACGGTGGTTGGTGATGACGGTTGGTGGTGACGGTGGTTGGTGGTGACGGTGGTTGGTGGTGGTGATGGTGGTTGGTGGTGGTGATGGTGGTGACGGTGGTGACGGTGGTGATGGTAGTGACGGTGGTTGGTGGTGGTGACGGTGGTTGGTGGTGGTGACGGTGGTGACGGTGGTGACGGTGGTTGATGGTGGTTGGTGGTGGTGATGGTGGTGACGGTGGTTGGTGATGGTGACGGTGGTGATGGTGGTTGACGGTGGTGATGGTTGGTGGTGGTGATGGTGGTTGACGGTGGTTGGTGGTGACGGTGGTTGGTGGTGACGGTGGTTGACGGTGGTTGGTGGTGATGATGGTGGTGACGGTGGTGATGGTGGTTGGTGGTGGTGATGGTGGTGACGGTGGTTGACGGTGGTGATGGTGGTTGACGGTGGTGATGGTGGTGACGGTGGTTGACGGTGGTGATGGTGGTTGACGGTGGTTGGTGATGGTGGTTGACGGTGGTTGGTGATGGTGGTTGGTGATGGTGGTGACGGTGGTTGACGGTGGTTGGTGGTGACGGTGGTTGGTGGTGACGGTGGTTGGTGGTGACGGTGGTTGGTGGTGACGGTGGTTGGTGGTGGTGATGGTGGTTGACGGTGGTTGGTGATGGTGGTTGGTGGTGACGGTGGTTGGTGGTGACGGTGGTGGGTGGTGATGGTGGTGACGGTGGTTGATGGTGGTGACGGTGGTTGGTGGTGGTGACGGTGGTTGGTGGTGGTGACGGTGGTTGGTGGTGGTGGTTGGTGGTGGTGATGGTGGTGACGGTGGTTGGTGGTGACGGTGGTGGGTGGTGATGGTGGTGACGGTGGTGGTGGTGATGGTAGTGACGGTGGTGGTGGTGATTGACGGTGGTTGGTGGTGACGGTGGTTGGTGATGGTGGTGACGGTGGTGATGGTGGTGACGGTGGGGCGAGTAACAACGACGCACAACACCGTGGCGGTAAACGAGAGACGATCGGCGAGGGAGAGAGAGAGAGGAGGGTGGGGGAGAGTCCGTGAAGGTCGGGGAACGGTCGACTTTGCCCGGCAACTTCGTTGAATCGAAGAGCGGCGGAAGGAAAGCGATGGAGCGAGCGGCGGCGGCGACGGAAGAGCTACAAACAAAGCGCCCGGACGAGACGGCCACAGGCAGCAGAGGTCGCCGCCATCGCCTCCCCAACATGGCGCTTCCGTGTTCGCTGGCGGCGACGCGCGCACAAGGTCACCCCGCACTCAAGTTGCCGCAAGGACCCCCACCACCACCACCGCCGCCAACATCACCACCAACACCACCACCGCGCCTCCACGGCTTCCCCCCCCCGCCACCACCATCCTTTGCACCCCCACATCGCGTCTCGTGTCTCGGACCCGCGAGCCGTCACTCAGCACCCGCACAGCAGCACCCCCACCACCACCCACCCGGAGCCAAGCACGAGCAGCCAACCACCATTCAAAAAAATAATGTAGACGTCAAGCGCCCTTAGCAATAGAGGTCGATGTTGAGTAAGCGGCAACCCCCCCCCCAGTCCACGCTGGCCCCCCACAAACACTCGAGCCCCCCCTCCTCTCACCTGCCCCCCCCCTTCTCCTTCTGCGGCCTGGCACCCCGTCTCGCAGAGACGGAAGAGGTAAAAAAAATCCCTCACCACACACCGGGGAGACCGCCCCCCCCCCCCCCCCCCCACACAAACCCCCTCTCCTAATCGACTATCACCCTCAACACGATCTCAGCAACCCCCTAAACCTACAAACCCAGGGGGGGGGGGGGGCTCTTTTGCCCCCCACGCAAAAAAAATTCCCCACCCCTCCTCCTCCTCCTCCTCCGCTGCCTTCTCGACCGCGGTCTCGCCCGCACGCCACACGCCGCCGAGGCCTCGGGAGCGCGCGCGGCCCTCAGGGCCCTGGACACCGCCTCCCTCCCTCCCTCCCGACCCGGGCCCGACCCGGGCCCGACCCGTTCCTCAACAGCCCACACAAAATCCCGTTGCCGTCCGATCCGCGGCCGGTGTTTGCCGGAGGGACCCGATCGCTTGGTCGTTATCCAGACGAGGTGGTGGTGGTGGTGATGCTGATTGATGAAGGTGACGATGATGATGATGAGAGAGAGGTCGAGGATCGGCACCTTCCTCGTCGTCGTCTTCTTCTTCCTCCTCCTCGTGCTGCTCGCCGCGCCGACACAAATGACCTCGACGGCGAAGTGGAGGAGGCGCGCGGCACCACGGGACGTGCCGCACTTCCGGTCGGCAATTACCTCGTGGTTGGGGCGTGGGCGGCGGCGGGGGGGGGTTTATTTTTTTTCGATTTTTTAATTTAAACAGCGTTCATGCGAAACCCGCGCATGCGAGGACTCTTATTGAGAATTACCTTTTTTAATGCGATTAATTTTAAAAATAAACATCGTTAAATTCTTGTTCATTTTCGGGGGTGGGGGAGGAGCCGTCCCCCCCCGACGGTTTTTAACGTCGCGTCCGATTACGTCACGTCCGGGCTAGCGTCATCGACGGACGTGACGTCCGCCGGACGCGGAGTCCATTTGGCGGTGAGGGATGGAGGCGTGGGGAGATTGGCGGCGTCTTTGGCAGTCGGCGGCAGCGGCGGGGAGGTGGAGACGCGCGGGGCGATAGACGACGACGAGGACGAGGAGGAGGAGGGGAGGCACGCGAGGAGAGCGATATAGATCGACGGAAGGGTTCAGATACACGGGGCCTGCGGGGAGAGGAGTTAAGGTATCCCAGATCAAGGGGTTCGACTCGTTAACATCATCAGCTGATCGTCGTCGTCATCATCATCACTTGCCGGTCTCTCCCTTTGTAAATCTTACATCGGCAGCAGCAGCATCATCATCGGTAACAGCAGCTCAATGGGCCAGAAATCTTCATTTTAATTACCAACATCAACCACCACCATCGTCGTCATCAGCCAGGATTCAATCTCACACTTGACAAGTCACAGTCGTAGCTACGACTCGAGGGGAGGAGAATCGGCCAGTGTCGGGAGACGCGGGGAGTGTCAACATCAACAACAACATCGTCATCGCCGATAGTAGCACTCTGACACCAGGGTAGTGATTGACACAGTAGCTACTGAGGACTCAGAAATCACGGTCTTGAGTGTGGCTTAAGGTGGTTGGTGGTGGTGGTGGTGAAGGACGTGGTGGCTGGTGACGGAGGAGTGACCCAGGAATAGGAGGAGGCGGTGAAGGGGAGGGTTGGTGTGACGAGGAAGGAGGAGGTGAATGAGGAGGAGGTGAAGGAAGAGTTGGTGTGAAGAGGAAGGAGGAGGTGAGGAAGTCGGTGAATGAGGTGGAGGTGGTGGTGCCCGTCCGGCATGGCGGGGCACTTCCGCAGCTACGCGTGGGACCCGGTGCTGATCGTGTCGCAGATGGCGCTCATGCAGTGCGTCTTCTACGGCTTCCTGTGCCTCTGGCTGGCGCTCATCGACGTCTTGGTGCAGGCGAACCGCACCCTTGACCAGATCTTCAGCTACCAGGTGCGTCCGGAGCCGCACGTGGCTGCCGCAGGCGATTCCTCCAGACTTGGATGCATGAAACCCTAAACTTTTTAAAAAAGTCGAAACAACGACAACCCCACGATGCAATCAATACGAAGAGACGTGTGGATTCATCTTCTGGGGGAAGGGGTGGGGGGACATTGTTGTGCTGTACTTGTATGGTATTTGCCGAATTGACAACTTCAGGTGGCTCCTAGTCGATGTGTTTGCAGGTGGGACCGTTAGTTGCATATCCGGAACGCGTGAGGGATGGCAGCAGAAGATTTGGGGAGCCCTTTAAACCAGCAGGGGATTGATCGTGGCTGGCGAAGATGATGATGAATTCAAACTTAATATTGACTGGGAAAATACTTGTGTAATTGTGTCTCTAAATAACCAGATCATAACGTTAACGCTCCGCCCAATTGCGTAATTAGAAGTTAAACCCAATGTTTGGCTTTTAAGTGGCTTGCATTGACAATATTATGCCCATGGCACACACCATGGGGAAGGTGAGTCGAGTTGTGGATGTGATTAATGGGGGGGAAAAGCCACCTGGAAAAAAAGATCGAGAAAGAAAATGTGAAATTGGAGAAAAATGATGGAAAGGGAGAGTCTGGAGGAACCAATGAGATATCTTGGCCAAAACCGTCAAAAGCTTAAACTTCCAGTACGTATTATGTAAGTCTAGTATGTTGAACTTACTTCGCAACGTAACCAGCCAACCGTGCTAATGCGATGTGCGGAAATGCCCTGTGTATGGAAAGGACACATGCCTTAAATGGGTAACAATGCCACCATCACTGGATGTACATTGCATCGTCATTACGGTGTGAATCGACGTCAATATGATAACAGCCTTCTGAACCAGATGTAATCAATAATGGGGCAGTGTTAAAGATTAAGGTGCTCATTTTTATTACATTGAAACCTCATTTCTTTAGAACTGCTTTTGGCACGTTAGCACCTCCGACGAGCAACGGTTGGCTCCGTAATGTGCGAAATAAGTTCAACGTACATCGTACCGGTCAACCCCTTATCAGTGCCCTACCTTATTACAGACCAATTCAGACCTTATTGGTCACCCCGTGCCCCTTCTTAATGTTTATCCTACAAAGTCCCATCGCAAGGGAGAAACACAAACAGACATTTTTTGTTGTTGCCCGTATTTTAACGGCTGTGCGCCGTATGGACCTGTATACTCAAATTACCTCTACAAGGATACAGCTAAACTGTATGGTGCGAAAGAAGTTCAACATACGTAGGTACACGCGTTCTAACAAATACAGTTGTTGAGCCTTGGACACAGCAGCGTCTCTGCACAGCGACGTCACCACGGATTGGCGTTGCCTGTTTTAACAGGACATGGGATTGGGGTGGGAGTCAGTGGCGCTGGCCAAGTTACACGATTCATGGGGGAGCTGGAGCTGAATTCGATGCATAGATGAGCGTTCACGTAATCCGCTCACGTTGGATTTAACTCCTCATGATGTAATTGGGTTGAACGTTAATGGCAGTTGATCCTGATTGAACCCAGTTCACATGTGAATCAAGCTGGATTGCAAGCATTTTTTTTGCATATCGTGGCATTTCTTTAAGGGTTCTAGTTATGGCTTCAGAAATGTTTTCCAGGTGCAAATTATGAATTCTATAAAAAAGTGTGCAGTGCAGATTTAGAGTAGGAGCTAAGCTAAAGTATGATGCAGAACTTTTATAATTAGAAGGTGAAAAAGATGAAGTTATCATGGCGTGGCTGAGACCACATTCACCGCTTGTTGCAGAGGTTCACTGTTCTAATCCAGCGGCCGCCCTGATTAATACTGCTGCGTTGCGTACTAACCGTAATAATACAAACTCCCATCTGCTTGACAGTGGACGTTAAAGATCCCAGGACTCCATTCGCAAGAGTAGGCCATTGTTTGGCGTCGTCATGGTCTAAAATCTGGCATGTTTGAAAAATGACAGCAAGCGTCGCCCCGTACTGCGAAAACGTGGCAGCACCCACCTGAAAATAAGTCATGAGACTCGGCGAGCCTTTCCGAGATTTAACAAGCGTAAGAGCAATTAAAAAAAATAATCACCATCATCTTTCTCTCTGATTCACAAATCATAACGCAGGATTATTAAGCGCGTCAAGGGTGACCTGGACTGGTGTCACGGCTAAATTAAAACCCATTAAAGTGCGATTATATCATGAATATGGAGACATTGTCTAATTTGATTTGCCTGCCAGCGGTGACCTGAGAAGGCAAGCCGTGTGATACATCTTGAGGAAGCATTCTGAAGCATCACTCGTGGACACTTTTGCCAGCCCAAACGGGTTGCAGACTCGCAAAATGATGCAAGCATTAAATTAGTGGCATGGGTGCCGGAGGGCAAACATTTAAGATACCCTTTGCATATTTGCCACGCTTTAAGTTGGATCTTCGTTGCCAGAGTTATAGCGCCCCTGTTACTGACGGGCAGAGCTAATGCGTAAGCGCTTATGACCCTTGCTCAGACGGCGTTAATAAGCAAAGCCAGCGAAGAAGGATGATGCTGTATATCAGCACTGACGGGAAGTTGAATTTACGCAGAGTGTCGATGCAGCAGTATTCTCGCAACACCCCGTACTGTACACATGAGAGAGTGCTGCAACAACTGCCTTCATGCATTGTCCGCCGTTGGAGCAACAATTGTGGTAATCGATGAGCGTGGTGGTGGTGGACATGTGTGCATGTGTGGGGGGAAACGGTGGCACGGTGGTTAGCGCGCCACGGTACGAACCCGAGTTAACAGTGGCCAACATTTGAACTGGTCCTGGGCCTCCCCCCTCTAGGTCGACTCGGCCTTAAAAGCACGTACCTGTTGGTGGTGTGTAAACATGAGCACTGGGGAGATAAAAGGGTGTGGTACTGGCCACCCACCCACCCCCATCGTGTGGAAATTCCAACTGATGATGCCAGCCTTGACAGGTTGTCTTTAACAACGCTTAACCCAACAGTCTGTTAAAGGCTACAGGGGGGGGATATTTGTCCTCGTGCAAATATGTGTGTGCGTGTTCTTTTTAGCAGGGTGCTGGAGTGACTGATGAGCGTGGTGGTGGTGGTGGTGTTGTGCACACACACACACACTGCGCTACGAACCCAGTGACCCGAGTTCGATTCCCGCTCACGGACAACGCTAGTGACAATTATTTGAACTAGTCCTGAGCCTCCCCTTGGTCGACTCAGCCTCAAACAAGTACATGGCGCGATGTGTAAACATCGCCACTGAGGAGACAAAGGCGGCCGGGCGTGGTGCTGGCCACCCACCCCCTCGAGTGCCGCGCCGGCCTTCATAGGCGCTCCTCGCCAACAACACTTGCCCCGACAGTCTGTTGAGGCTACACGGGGGGGGGTATCCTTGTCTTTGTGTGCGCGCGTGCAGGTGCTGGAGTTCTCGACGGCGCACGGGAGGGTTCCGCTCATCGCCTTCGTGCTCAACGCGCTCACTTGGTGAGGGCAGTTTGCAGCGGTGGCCCTCCCGTCACGGCGGGGGTCACTCCTCGTCAAATCTACGCAGCGGCGCTTCGCGCAGCGCGTGACACCCCCCCATTGCGTTGGATTGGTCGTTGTTGAACCGCACGCGTAACTGCTCACGCCGTTCCGTCTCCCCGCCCCCCACCCCACCGTGCACTCTTTCGTACTTGAGGCCTGTGGCGGTGGTTTGGAATTTCAAACCGATGACGACCCACGAGCTCCTTGGTGCAGTCAGAACGCAGATACTGTACTCGCTGCGTTAAGTTTGCCGTGCCCCAACTCGTCGTCATGAGCCTTTGTCTTCCCAGCCACCCTTATATGTGATGAAGTCGGTTATCGAGTAGCGCCCGTTCGGTGTGTGTAGTCTGTAGGACGGGATTGAATAAGGTCACTTTCAGTTCTCTAAGACGAGTTCTCCGAGATGCGACACCTCATGGTCACGAGTCTCCGCGACCATGTGGAATAGCGCCAGCCAGGATCTCAAGTCGGCCGTCCAAGCTTGGCCCTTGTTACCCACAGTAATGGAACCAGAATGTACGTACGTATGTTGAACTTCTTTCGCACAGTACGTAGCCAACCGTGCTAATTCGAGGCGCTCATGGCGCGCACGTATACGTGGACTTGGCGAGCCGTCCGCGGCACTCGCTTCTCCTGCCAGGCCACACGCTCTACCCTGGGCCAACCTCGCAACCAGTTGTGATGCCACGGGATCACGGTTAGGTCACGGTAGAGGTCACAGTAGAGGTCCCAGTTAGGTCACGGGGGCGGTGGAAAACCAAGAAGCAGAGTAAGCTCCCCCCTCACTTTATTCAACTTGAGGGCCATGTTTCTGTTTAAATACAGGGCGAACAATTACAATTTAATCTTGATTTGATTACAATTGACAAATTACCTTTAAGCCTGGCCTGATCCATCCCTACATTTAAAGATATTTTGTATGCGCAATCAGGATTGCTACACCTCCAGTTCGTGGCGGAGGTTAGGGATGGAGATAGGTTCAAAGTATGGCTCGTGAAATGTGGAGACACTAAATCCGCCCCTTGCTGCTGATGATCCTGGAATGTTTACCAAGCCATTCCTGGGTTGCCAAGTCGCAGTTACCACTGCCCGTGGAAGGTTAGGTAAATGGCTGTGTTTACTTGACGTGGAATGACCTCTATGGCGCACGCTGTATTGAGGTGTCTTTGTAAATCAGGCTTCTTAATTTCCTTGTTTGAAATTTTTGAAATTGTCGCAGTAAAGAATAGAGTCTTTTGCACGATTATCAGGATAATACTTTAACACGAAGAGTGGCCCTTTTTTTCTCCCAATGACAGCGTCACCTCGATGAAGGCTTTTTTACTTGGGTGAGAATCCAGCTACAATTTCAAGTTTAATTGGCCACACAAAGCTAAATATAATCCATAAGCCACCAGATGAGTGTTTTTTTCTCTTTCCCAAGTCACCATTGTCCCCGTGTCATTTTAGCCAGGGGCTGCAACACCCACACCATATATCTCTCCCCCCCCCCCCCCCCCCCCCCCAAATTGTCTAATGCATGCTCTTGCATGACTTTTATGTTCAAAGGGAATGTATAAGACCATTTCCCATTGGTGGCATTCTGACAAGAAATACTGGATTGTCCCGCGGGTCCACACATCAGGGTGTGGTAGATGATGATGTGCAAAGATCACGAGAAGCTGCTTTCTCACGCTTGCCCTATAAAGAGTGTTTATCTTGGTGTGTGTGTATGGGGTGGACATGCCGGCGTATGAATTGACACACCATTGATCATCCAACCTTGGTGGATCGCGATTGTAAGGCAGGCTAGACTTAGACGACTGGGCCAGTTGTTGGGAAGAGACAAAGGATATGGACTTAGAAGGGCTACGGAGACGCCGTTGCGGGGCACGAAGAGAGTGACCGAGGGTGAGATGGGAGGATGTGGCAGAATGAGATACGAGGGTAGTGGATGCGACAAGAGGCACAGAATAGAAGCTCGTGGAGAAATCAAATCCAAGCATCCGACTCCATGCAACAGAGCGGAGTTTTTTGGATGAGAAGACTAGAACACTGGCATTCATCCTGCATTGGACGGATCACGGCTTTTTGCAATTGTAACCATTGCCAATGCACGCGCTGGTGTGCAAACGCACGCACTGGTGCACTGGTGCCCTGGTGTGTAAACGCGCGTCTCGATTGTGCGTGCCTCCCACCCCGCAGCGCGCTGGGCCTGTGGCTGTTCGTGCGCCGCGGGAAGCAGTGCCTGGACTTCACGGTGACGACGCACTTCTTCCACATGCTCGCGTGCTGGGCGTACAACGCCAGCTTCCCCAGCGCGCTCACCTGGTGGCTCGTCAACCTCGTGTGCGTGGCGCTCATGGCCGTCATCGGGGAGTACTTGTGCATGCGCAGCGAGCTCATGGCCATCCCGGTCAGCATTGGGCCCAAGGCCGACCTGTGAGATGCTTCGGGCCACGCCGTGAGGTCGGGCGCCCTGCTCGGCCGTGGATTCACGGAGAAAGCTTACCCGCGCGTAGCCGGGCCCGGAGGGTGGGGGTCCCGCCTCGTCTTAGACGGACTCTCGTGAGAAGCGCTCGGTCTTGTGCCCATGCGCGAGAGATCTCTGCGTTGATGCCAGCGCCCCCGCCGCTGTCGGTTTGGAAGGGTCTGGCAAACCCCAGTGGTGTACGCAGGTGTGTTGAACGTCTGTCGCGCCTTACGTTGGCAACCGTGCTAAATCGGAGGTGCGGGGGTAGGACAACAAACTAAACACACAAAAAAATCAGTTTTTGAGTTATCGTCGACAATGGAAGAAGTGATTTCCACCTTGTGTATATAGGTTTATTTTGAAGCGGTGCTTTAAAAATAAAAACGAAAACTATAAATCGACGTGAAAAGTGTCGCGTTTTTATTTGCTTAGGTGGTGCTTGCATGCGATGCGTTTATTTGACTCCTCCCCCCCCCCCCCAACGAGCTACGGAGAAGCCGAGTGGTGTTGCGGTGTCGCTGCTTGTGGACCGACATGAAGGAAAAAAGACAGATGAAAAGCTCGGTCACAATTCGTGGTCTCTTGCAGTCGCGTCGACACCTGTATGGGGGCCCACTTATTAACCCTTTCCCCATTCCGAGGCGTCTGCAGGGTGTGGTGTGTCCCGTTCACCGCTGAATCTCAGAATGCGCGAAATTTTATTCAGGAGAGGCGTAGTAGCGCCGCTGTTTTTAAAGACATCGAACTCACCGCAGACAACTGTAGCGACACGACCGCCGCAGTCTACGACAACTGGCGCCAAAACCGCCACGCACCCTCCCTCATGGCCTTGTGAGAGCCCTTGCTTCCCGATAGGTATTTTAAGTTTTTCTTCCGTAGTAGCGGAAGGTGAAAACGACCCTCTGCAGGTCACACAATCCCTTTGGAAGGAGCTAAAGTTCACTCCATATTCTGGTCACATCCATATACAAGGCTTGATCCGCTACTGCTGCTAAGCCCCCCCCCCCCCTTTATTGTCTTGTAACTTTCTGACCCGCCCCAGCTGCACATCTGTGAGAAAGAGCTTCATAGCTCGTCGGATTTCTCCTGGATAAATACATTCTAATTTCACCTACTTGCTGTCGAGGTGGGAGTACCCACACTTAGCCCCCACCACACACCACCTGCCGATCGCCTAATTTGTGGAGCCGTTTACGCTGCCGGGTGGACAGGGGTGGAGATTTAAGAAAAGTCCACCTTTGTTTCATCTTACGCTCCCTGGGAGATGGAATCGAACCGGTGAACTCTGGGTTGCAAGTCGGGCATGCTCACCAATGCAACGTGGTGGGGCTGCATACTGTGTAACTGGGTTAAAACAATCTATGCACAGTATATTGAACATATTCTTGGTTCTTTCGGTAAAGTCACGTTGAAGGGAAACAATAAAATAATATATAAAACAATATATATTAAAACAATATATTATTTTATTGTTTCCCTTCAACGTGACTTTACCGAAAGAACCAAGAATATGAATCACTGCGGTCACGAAAGCTTTGAATCAAAATTTATACTGAACATCTTTCGCACCATACAATATTATTAGAACGCTGCTGGAGCTTACGCACTTTTGAATCTAGATTGAAAACTAATTTATTTCGAACTGCTTTTGTTTGTATTTAGTTTGTTGTTCCTCCCCTTCCGCCGCACCTCCGATTAACACGGTCGGCTACGTACGGCGTGAAAGAAGTTCAACGTACGAGTCGAGACGGGTCCACGTGGTTGCAGTGCCCCATCTGCTGTGTTTCAATTGTATCGCAACGGATGGCGAGAGGGAAAGTGGAAGTGCAGCGCCTCTAGCGCGTTACGATCCGTAGCCAACCGTGCTAATCGGTGGTGCGGACGATCACAACTGGTCCTTGGCCTCCCCTAGGTCTACTCAGCCTCAAATGAGTGTCCTGGTGCAGTGTGTAAGGATCGCCACTGGCGGTCGGGCGTGGTGCTGGCCACCCACTCCCTCGTGTGCCGTCCCTGGCTTCATAGGTGCTGCTCGCTAACAACAGCACTTGCCCCTACAGTCTGTTACAGGCTATAGGGGGGATCTTTGGTGTCGTGGTGGGGCAGGGTCTTCTTCCCATTCACAAACCCTCAGTGGCGAGCGAGGGTGACGAGTGCTGCTGCTGCTATCGACACGGTATGGAATTCGTCTTCATCCAGCAGTGGAATGGCACACAAGCGCTGCAGTGTACGATACATGTCAACTAAACTATTGATTTTTATTTTACCTGGTAAGGCCCACTGAGCTATATTGGAGCCGTTTTTCAGAAGCGACCTGGCCACAAACGATAGCTCAACGAAGTGGCTTAATATCACGTGAACATTTACAGCGGCCAAGTACCCTAAATGCGTGACGTCGATTCTAAATGTGGAGGGGGAAACCGGAGGACCCCGGAGAAAAATCCACGCGACCACGGGCAGAGAGAGAGAGAGAGCGAGAGACGCGCAAACTCCAAATATACAACAGGCTCGGGATCGAACCCACGATCTCCGCCACACCAGGTGAGGTAGTTAACATCTCGCCACCACGATGCCCTAGAGAGCCCCCCTTTTTTTAAATGAATTTTCAGAGGGGCAGAGGTGGGGGTGGGGGGCACGTCAGGGGACTGCACTAAATGGCCTCCAGGGGCTGTCGGTGGCCCCGCGGCGCTCAGACAGAGCAGCTGCATTTCGACGGTGGACCCGGGGTGGCACCGTTAGGAGATTCTCCGCGAACTGGTTCAACCAAAATGATGCAAACATCACACACACACACGTCCGGGACTCCGTGGACTAAAAACAGTGCCTTCGGTTGAGTTCCGAGTCCCGTAACCGTTTACACATCGGGACAAACCCATCACTTACAATCGGCCGCGCGTCAATGTTTGGTTGGTCTCGCGTAGATTTACGAAACCCCCAGACCAGAGCGGCTCTTCATTTCAAGCCCCGCGAGCGGCCCGCGCCCACCCCCCCCCCCCCCCCGACAAAACATAAACGATCACAACATTCTCCCATCGTCATCAGCGTGCTGCTGTCGAACCCCAAATGGTTTAAAATGCGTGGCGGGTCCTCACACTGGCGATGTCCAATCGGCGAAAGTGGCCCCCCACTCTGAAATTGAGCGAAGAACGCGGACTCAGAGCCACTGGGGTTGCGAGGTGGCCGGATGGCAGTCGGGTGGGATCATGAACCCGTCTGTGTGGACCTTCGCGCGTTATCCTTTCCCCCGTGCATTGTGTTTTTCAGCGGATATCGTTTGATTTCCTCTCACATTCAACACTTCACCTGAAAAACAATTGCATGGTCATCACGGCGCGGTGCCAAAACGCTGGCGTGTAATACTGCAATATGTCAAACATTTCTATGGCGAGGATTCGGTTCATTTCAAGAGAGCATCCCACGTGTGGACTTTCCTCCGCAGGCGATGTTCACACAACGCGACAGTCCTCTTCTTTCCAACGGTCCTGATGGAATTCCCGGGTTGAGATGACCCCGACTCAGATTACAAATAAAATTCCCTGGCGCGTGTCGTGTCGGGTACTGCAAGGAACATGCGCCGTCCAGTGCTTGCCAAGCTGCATTGGGTTCCAGTTGCCAAACGAATACAGGACGTACTAATGTCGCACTAATTACACACACACGCACACACAAAGTGCCTACCGCAAATTAACCTTGCCGATCTTATATTCTTAGTTCTTTCGGTAAAGTCACGTTGAAGGGAAACAATAAAATAATAAAATATATATAACAATAAAATTCTCACGACGTTTCAACTGTAACACAAGCAGTCATCATCAGGTGTGAAAGCCAAATCGTTGGTTTGGTTTTCAAACCCAACAGTCATCATCAGGTGTGAAAACCAAACCGTTGGTTTTCACACCTGATGATGACTGCTTGTGTTACAGTCGAAACGTGGTGAGAATTTTATTGTTTTATATATATTCTATTATTTTATTGTTTCCCTTCAACGTGACTTTACCGAAAGAACCAAGAATATGAATCACTGCAGTCACGAAAGCTTTAAGTCAAAATTTAACTTGCCGATCTTGTCAAGGAGCATGAACCATCACCACGCCAACTCCGGCCACCCTCGCAGGGGCACCGGCCTTTGGCTGGCCATCGAACGATAGACGGTCGCACCGCATCGAGCGCTTTCAGATGCGCTTCTGGGGTCGCCTCGGACACTCTTCCTTACAGTATTAGGAAGCAACTGGAGCAACGCACTTTTAAATCGAACGAAAACTCGTTTATTTACAACTGATTTTTCGTGTTTAGTTTGTTGTCCTTTGCCCGGCACCTCCGTTGAGCACGGTTGGCTATGTACAGTGCGAAAGAAGTTCAACATACATACACTGGGGATCAAGGCTGCATTAACCACACGTACTTGTAGTGAACATGCAAACAAAACATGTTCTGATAATACTCCATTGGTTCTTTCGGTAAAGTCACGTAGGTAAGAAGATTAAATAAAATTAATCAAATCACGACGTTTCGGAAGTGACACAACCCTCCGTCATCAGGTGGGATAGTCACAGCAAGAGGTAATTTGCTGTAGTGACTATCCCACCTGACGATGGAGGCTTGTGTTGCTTCCGAAACGTCGTGATTTGATTAACTTTACTTTATTTTTTACCTACGTGACTTTACCGAAAGAACCAGTCACGAAAACTTCAAATCTAGAATGTTCTGATAATATTATGCAATGTTTTGATTTAAAGCTTTCGTGACTGCAGTAATTCATATTCTTAGTTCTTTCGGTAAAGTCACGTTGAAGGGAAACAACAAAATAATAAAATATATTGTTATATATATTTTACACGTGCTTGTGGTGAAATTGTAAAGGGTAAAACCCATTTTTATTTATCATACTATGGGACTGGCAAAAAAAGGTCCCATCATATAGCTGCTCACCCCGAGCTATAAATACTCTGACACGTGCATAGTTGTTGTACTCTTCACATTTCGGCGTTCTCTGGCCTGACACTGGTGAGACTAGGCCATCAAGAAAGCTGTCTCTATATGATGGGACCTTTTTTTGCCAGTCCCATAGTATGATAAATAAAAATGGGTTTTACCCTTTACAATTTCACCACAAGCACGTGTGGTTCATGCAGACCGTGTTTCCTTGCGGTGTTTGAAGATATAAACACCTGTTTTATTGCCAGAAAGGGTAAAACCTGTTCTTATTTTTCATTCTTTGATATTGGCACACAAAAAGGTCCTATGATATACGTAAACAGCTTGGCTAAAATATGAACGCTTGGCGGCTTCATGTCTCTGTCGCCACCTCGTGGTCACCACGTGGCACTGTAGCTGCGTGTGTTGAGCCAGACGCAGCCTCATAGACCTCCACGGGCTCATGTGGATTTCGGCAGCAGATTACACA